TATTTCTCAACTTCTCTTCACAATGAAAATATAACGTTTATGTCTGATAACATCGAAGGTATAAATGAGAACTAAGACAAAAAGTTACAAGTTAAATAAGTTTTATATAAACCACACTCATAAATACCTTTTTTCAATGGAGAAAGCAAGCTAAAGTAAATAATTTTGACGTAAAATTGACGATAAGTGACGTCAGCCTGTTTGGCGAGAAGTTATTAATTCAATTTCTCTTTGCGGTAACAAAATTATTCTCTATGTTTCACGAGTGTATCTTAATTTTGTAGATAATTTTGTAGACAATTTGTAAGATAGGTAAAAGATATATGCAAAAGACATGAATTAAAAGCAAATTCATTTCAAGCTAAATCACTCCGAGTCATTATTTGAATATTTGTCTAACGCTGATGGAAAAACTTCAAGTTTTCTATCTGCCATATTAGTAGTGAAAAAGAGGAGAGGTAACCAGTGAACGTCTGTGTACCTGCACGAGGTCGTAATGCGTGCGACGCTGCATCTCCAGGAGTCGCATGGTGCGTTGGCACTCACCGGCGAGATCCGTATCGTCGTGGTCGCTCATCGTCATCGACGTACAATCACGCGAGCTGCATGTAGCATACTGATCTCCAGAAGGATCGGAGCTTATCGGTGGCGCGTAGAAGAAGTGGGGCGAGGTGAATTTAGGGGCCCGATTCCAGGAAAAGTGCGACACAATGCGCCGAATGTTTTTCTCGGTAAGTAGAGACTCGCCGTTTTATTTCGAGTCCCAGAGACACCGGTCGGGGTTGGATATTTTCTTTTTTCAAACTTCCTTTAGACTTCTATACGTCTACCTTCTGTGGGAAGCTGTTCGAAAATTTCCTTTGAAGAAGCTGCAAAAGAAGCTCCACTTGCGTTTTACGTTTATTACGTAACTCGGCGAGAGGTGCGTTTATATAAGAAAAGCCTGAATTGTTAATTATATTATAATCGTTATTTAATATTTTTGTATTATTAGCATCATTTAAATCTTTCATTTTCGGACAACAATCGTCAAATTAATTTACATTCTTACAGTGATATTATTTTGCGCTCGAAAACATAGTTTATAATGTAACTTGATATTCAAGATCAGACTGTACGAAAAAAAAAAATATATATATATATATGATAGATTATAAGTTTATCACACACAATAAAGTTATGAAGGAGTAGCAGGAACATTATTAACATTAACTATATATTTTTGCGCATGATAAGAAATTAAAGCTATCGAGATGATGGAAGGCGATTAGGAAACAAATATTTAGAATTTTATAGTTCTCTCTTGTTCCACGTATAAACAAAGCGAGAAGGGAGGATTCTCAGAAGAGTTTCTGGGCGAGAAATAAGACAAAACGACTGTATCGGATTTATACCCCACTTTATTGTTGAAATATTAAACCGCGTTTAACTGTTATTATGCATTTTTTCTATTTAAAAATGCAAAGCTTTTTTATTGAAAAAATTAATAAATAGAAATATAAATTTATATTATTTCAACAAATTTACGAGATGTACAATTTGGGGTTTTTCCTATAACGATTTCATATTAAATCGAATTCATTACGGAAATTAATGTAACGTAAGTCAAATCAAAAATTAATAATAACAAATTTTAAATATTTATTAAAATATAAGCATCAGGGATTGTAAATTTGTAAGTTAAAAAAAGATGTTGAAAAATTATTTATAATTTCTATTTCTTTTTTGTGTTTCTTTTTATAAGAGAAGCAGATGTCAGTAGTTGCTAGGGAATTAGTAACTGACGGTAAGCGATAAATTCCAGTCGATAACAAATTAAAACTTTCTCTTTATTTCGATGCGAGATTTTGCATTGTGAAGTTAACATTAATTAAAAGTCAATTACTTTTAAATGTATTTGTATTTATATACTTAAATTTTTTTGTAAAATTTATCACATACATATATAATAATTTCATAGAATGTAAACTACTTGAAAAAAATAGAGGAAAAAACTGAAGAAAATAAAAGCTATTAGCATTTAACGTTTCAAATATATTTAATTAATTTTTAAATTGTACAATTTATATAACGCATGTGTGAAAAATATTTGCAGAGTACATTTATTTACATATTTACACATTAATAATTTCAAAAAGGTATATATTAGTAATATTACAAAAAGAATTTCTTCCTTTCTACAATTATATGGCATCCATATCGCAGTCTATATATTTAGTATCATCTTTCATATTGTAGAGCGACTTTTGCGATATAGGTGCCCGACCGAGGTACGTCCTGAATTGTTCATAATAATTGACTAATTCATAAATTTTATCACTGATATCTGGGCATGCAATGCCGCTTTCAATTATATGACTCAGCCTATCGGTATTATCCGCACAAATCGAAAATTGTTCTATGAGCCGTAATTCCTCCTTCAATGTCGCATTCAACACAGCCGCCTGAAAGAAACCGTGAGAGTTATATAATGCTTAAATGCCGCGGCATTTACATATAGCGAAGATATTTTTTTTAGTGATAATTAAAATCATGATATGTACTCGTCTTGCTCTCTGCTGGAATTCTTCTAGTTTTCCACGTATGCTCTCAAACTCCGCTTCTGTGTATTGTACCTCTTGAAGTTTATCCTCATTCGCCAGAACATTGTCGGGTACAGCAACGAATTTTCTCACAATATTCTGATCAGAATAAAATAAGCGATTAATGTCATATGTACAATTCTTATTATAAAGTTTTAACAGATATATTTTAGATACAAAAATAGACATAATGTAATTAATTATAAGTGAATATAGATTGTTTAGTTCAAAAATAATTACCTCTATGTTTTTCAAATGAGGCACAGAAGCTGCATGGTACGCCTTTACAAGGTTTTCCTCGTTTGCCTTTAGCGTGGCCAAATTATCGGAGTCTGACTTACACATTTTTTCCAATGTTTCACACAACTTTCTGCTCCTAGACTGTATCCTTTCTATCACAATATTCTCGACTATAACAAACCAAAGAGAAAGTAACAAGATTACCATGAGCAGGCATGCATAATTTTTCGTAAATTAGAAACATGTAGTTAGACTAATGATCATACAAGAATGTTCACAATAGTATTCTTATTCTCATAAAGTGAACAAAATAATAATCTGAAATTAGATTTATATCTAAGCTATTATCATATTTTTAATCTTTTTTTTTTTCAAGTAGGATTAAGGATTGATATTTTGCTTCTCTCCTTTCAGTAATTTTCCAAATGTAAGGAATTATACAGCATTTACAGTTGTATAATACAATTTAATGATTCACGAAAGCAGAAAAAAATCAAAAATAAAAAACCAAAATTGTACAAGCATTAAGACTAAAAAGAAGTTGGTGAGATAAAGGATGTGTTTAACGGGAGGCGACGCTTCTCATCGGCAAAGCGTCTTCGTCGATCGACATGTTTAAGAAAGCAAGATTTTGTGTTAGCGTCCTCCTCCTCCCCCCCCAACGCAAAAAAAAAGCAAAAAAGCAAAAAATCCGTCGAAAGCGTCTCGGTCGCTGGACGAGTGTGACTCTAGTCATGATCGAATGCCACATGAAACCAGAGTACACCCGTCCAGCGGCAACGAGATTTTGACGCAGACGTGGGGCTCGCCGTAACGCCTAACGGTCGGTGCCCCCGCCGGAATTCCTGTCCGTCCAACGTTCGAAAAGTGCGATCTGAAAAAGCGTTGCACATCGAAATTTAAAATGCAGACGGCGACTTACTAGTCGCGTATACGACTCGAGAATGGAAGCCGAACAGCTGCATCTCGTATTCCTCGCGTTTACGCTCCCGTAACTCGGAAGCGGCGTCGCTCTCCATGATGAAGACGAGACTGAACGGACCAAACGAGATGAGACGAGAATCTTGTACTTTCAAACCGGTGAAGGTCCTCGATATCTTCAGACTTCCAACTTCTATCCGGCGACTGGCGCCAAGCGGCTGCTCGTTCCCGATTTCTCTCGCACGAGAGCACCTTGACGTCCGTTGACAAATGAATATGGCGTCCCTCCTGATCCCTCCGCTTGCCCTGCGTGCGAACGCGTCCTTTGTCCCGTCCCGCCATGTTCGCCAATTGACAAGCCGCGCGATGCGAGATGCGATGGCGCAGTAGGGCACGCTGACAACGGCCCCGAACGGCCCCCAATCCCAATCACGGATCAAAGAGAATCCTTTTCCGGTAGCGCCGCCTCGGACGACGGATGTCTTTTAAATTCGAATGTAATTTATCATGAATTTCGATCGGTCACGAGGAGTGCTGTGTCGATAAATGACTTTGACAGAAATGCATTTTATCCAATGATGAGGTTTATGCAGTTAAGCCTTTTGTCCAAGATGCTAGAAATCGGTCCATCGAGACCTCGAGATGAAAAAAGAATTTGACCAATCGCAATAGTCGTATCTGATTAAATTGTTCAAATGTGATTTGTTATTTTTTTCTCTGTCCGAGATCTCGAACGATTTCTAGCATCGTGAACATTGGGCTTAAAATGAGGAGCACAGACTCTTGCATAAGCCCGGATTCTTATATAGGCAACAGCGCTTTAACATCGAACGCTGATTGGTGGAAAACGGACAATGGGGGTCAATTTTACTGCCACGACCGACTTTTCACCAATCAGCGCTCTGTGTTAAAGCGCTGTTGTCCGTATGACGATCCGGGCTAACACATAAAGGCGTCTTTTCATGTCGACGCTCGACGCTCATTTTCGACGTCAAAATAAGTCACGTGATAGAAATTGATGAATGTCAAACGTCAATTTTGATTACGTGACTTATTCTGACGCTGAAAATGAGCGTCGAGCGTCAGTATGAAAAGGCACCTTTAGCCTGAATCCTTATGCAGACAAGCGCTTTGATCACCAAACGCTGATTAGTGAAAAACGGATGATGGAGGTAAATTTTACCTCCACAATCGACTTTTCACCAATCAGCGTTTGGCATCGAAGCGCTGTTGCCCGTATGAGGATCGGGGCTTTATGTCAGCATCGCAAAAGTACTAAAAAATACTAGAAAAAGTATTAAAAATGGCGTTGTTTATAAGACGGACTATAAAATCCACCAATCAGCCATTTTTAATACACGCAATAATTCATGATTGGCTGCTAATCACGTAAT